AGTTGTGTCTGACTCTTTGTTGACCCCATTTGGGGTTTTCTTGGCAAAGATACTGGAGTGGTTTGCCATTTCCTCCTCCAGCTCATTTTATAGATGAGGAAATTGAGGCAATAGGGTTAAGTGACTTGCCCAGGGTCACACAGCTAGTAAGTATCTGAGGCCAGATTTGAACTCAGAAAGATGTTATCTTTTTGACTTCAGGCCCAGTATGCTATCCACTGTACCACCCATCTGCCATATATAAAGGTTAGCTATATTTATTGTCATTTCTAATTAATAGTGATAAAAAAAAGACTTGACCTGTGTTTTCATTGGAATGTAGAGAACTCCTGGGAAGGAACTTCCTTTACCAGTTCACATCAGCATCTGCTCTGAAATCTATACTGTTAGTGAGTTGCTGAGGACACTAAGATATGAAGTGACTTATCTAGCGTGACTTAGCCAGATGTTTCAGAGGTGGGGCTTAAACCCAGTTCTCCTTGACTCCACCTCCACTGTGACAAACTGCCTCTCTACTACGAAAAATGATAATGCTCTAAAAATTAGAAAGAAGCCATAACTGATGCTGCTTCTATTGCTGCTGATAATTTCATAACTAGAAGGTTATAGGGGACTTGGTAAGGTGAGTGAGGGCAGATATTTCCATGGGTGGTGGGTAATAGTGATGTCTTTCAAGCATTCCTAGTGAGAGGTAACAACATGGAGTAATGGTAGAGGGCTGGTCTGGAATCAGGAAGACCTAGATTTGCATGCTGGTTCAATCACTTATTAGTTCTACGACTGTGGGCAAATTACCTAAGTTTTTTTCCCCTCATCTTTAAAACTGGGATAATAATATCTTGGAGAATTGCTTGAAAAGATCAAATGAGATAATTGGCAAAATGCAATATTAAAATGAAAATCTTGGGACAGCTAGGTGGCACAGTGGATAGACCACCGGCCCTAGAGTCAGAAGGACCTGAGTTCAAATGTGACCTCGGACGCTTGACACTTACTGGCTGTGTGACCCTGGGCAAGTCACTTAACCCTATTGCTTAACAAAAAAGAAAAAAAAAAAGACAATCAAAGTGCTATATAAATGTTGGTTATTATCATTCCTGTAGATTTGTACCTCACTCTTTATCCAAGACACATATTCTTGAAATGTTGTAGAGAAAGCATATTTTTTGAAGTAGAAAGATTTTAAGTACACAAAGAGAACTCAATATAAAAATCCTGCAGTGGTTCTTTTGATGTAGTAATGATATATATTTAATGTTCTCATCACCCTCTAATTTGTCAGTTTTTAGAGTATGACTTTTCATATGCCAGACTTTCTTAAAGTGGGACCCACATTATTGTTTATAAAATGACTACTAACAAAAACATATTTGTTAATAAGACAAAAAGGTCATGTTCTTGCATTGTGCTGTGTCTGTGTCCAGTGCAAATTGAAAATGTCTATGTCTCAAGTGTTTTAAAATTTAATTTTTATTACAGTACTTCCTGAGAGACCAAAGATGATATACAAAAGCATTTTTGGATAGTACAAGTATAATTATAATTATGAAAATAGTATGTTGTCATTGTGGAGAAAATGCAGAACTACTTTTATAAAATGCACATGTTCATGGATGTGAAAGCTTTGCATTTCTGACAGTTCAGAATATGTCATTTACTCAAAATATAAACTTTATTAGATCATCAATATGTTTAGAAGAAAAACTAATTATAGGAGCATGTACAAATATTGCATAAATATAAACATAATCAAAATTGGCTTACTTTGTACTTTATGACAAAAATCTTTAGGTATTTTGCATTTTATAATCTCACTTCTTTTGAAGATTTCAAAAGCACCTAAGAAATGTTGCATAAAAGGTATGTCATGGGATAGCATAAATTTCTGCTAAAGGTACAGGGAATTAGACAGAACATATATTTGCAATTAGGAGGGAATGTATGAATCTTTTGACCCTCTCATGATACATTGGTATTTCTCAAAGCAAAATATAACAAATGAACAAAAAAGTTTAAGAACTATTATTCAGACATATAGGACCTACTAAAGTCACATTTTATAAATGGGAAAATTTAAGTAAAGCAAATTATTTTCCCGAAGTTGTGAATTAAATCTTTGCTGGGCTGAGACAAACATCCAAGCTCTCACTCCAATGTGACTGATCCTAAATTAACTAATATCATTATTATAAAAATAACTCAAAGGAAAAAGTGATCCTTATTTTAAATGAATAAATTTAATAAAATTGTTGGCTTTTACATTTCCTAAAAGGTTGAGTCTTTGCCTATGGTATAATGGTTACAAACCACAAAGCAAAAGGGAGGAATAATTAGCAAATTAATGATTTTTGCAGTTAGGTTTTCAAGGTGAATTATCTGTTTGAAAGAATAATCTTTGTATTGGTTAAAGATATATGAAAATATATACTTTTAAAAATTTCCAACTGTTCTTAAATTTATCAGCAGGGAGGTATGCTTAGCCAACACTTATGGGTGCTGACCCTTTAGTTAGCAACCTCTTGATACTGATTAAGTTATTCAATGATTGTCTTGTAAACTGTCTCTGTCATGCAAGGCTGAGTATAGCTAAATTCAGAAAGCCTTATTCTCAAAATGCTGGACTCTGGATGATAGATTTTTTCCTAAAAGATAGAGAGATTGTAATCAATGGTGAATTTCCCACACAGATGAAATCACAAGTCCTTGAAATATTGAAGCAGTATATATTTACAATAGAAGTATAAACTGAGCTTTAGTTTATGGATTTGTTGATAGTTCTTTTCTGCCCCAGATAACATTTGGTCTTCAGCTGTGAGTTATATATAGGGAGATGTCCCAAATTTACCCATCTGAAGCTTAAGACCCCCTAAGGTAAGGACAAAGATAGTTGCCGTCTTCTATCTGTCTTTCTCAGGACTCTTTATCCTCCCTTTTCAGGTCATGAGAGAATCTCCAGTGTTAGATAGAAAGGTCGACTCACTTACCAAGTTAAGACCAAAGTTAATTCAAGTCAGGGCACCTTTAGACAGTAATAATTGCTTTTAGTTACTACTGACCTGCTTCAAAGATAAAATACCCTGTATTCCAGCATTCAATACAGTTTCCTGAGTTGGTTATAGTAAAAATAAATACTATCATTCATACATGAACCAGAAGTATTAGAAAGACAATATGGGAGAAAAGAATATCCACCTAATGGAGGGATTAAATGCCCTGAGGATGCCATCTGCTGCTCTTGAAAAGTAGTCTTTTCATTGATCATCCAGTAGTTAGAACACTAATCTTGAGCATAAGCAAAAAAAAAAAAATGCTGTTCTCGGTACTCAGTAGAGAAGCTGAAGAATAATTAGGCTGCAATTACAGAGCAAAGAAAAATATTTAAAAGAGGGGAATGTAACGTAAGCTAGTAGTTATTCTTCTTCCTGGACTTTATATGTTCATAGATCTTCAAAAACTGCCATTGACTTTTTCTGAGGGTGTAGCTCATAATGACAGCAAACCCTCCTTCCCTTTTCCCCCTTCCCTCTCCCAATAAAAAGTTACAAATGGTTGTAACCCTTTATTCCTGAGATGAGATCTAACCCCATTCCTTCATTGATTAAGAAAGTCTTCTTAGAATGTGACAAATCTAACCAGGGCTCAGAAGAGATAAGAAATGTGTGTGTGTGTATGTGTTTGTGTTGGTATTGGAGAGGGGAATGAAGCAAGAGTTTGGTCTTAGCTCAGTGAGTTTTTCCCATAACTCCATGTTTACTTAATAAATAATAACAATAATTTATATTTCTATAATCATCATTTATACTGCTTAAAGGTTTATGAATCATTTCCATTACAACTCTGCAAGGTAGGTAGTATATGTGTGATTATGCCCACTTTATGGATGAAGAGAACTGAGTAACTCAGATTTATATGGAATACTAAAATTGGTCATGTGTTTTCCTTGCAATCACCCATGAGGTTGGTAGTATTGTTATCCTTATTTTACAGAAGAAGAAACTGAGGCTCAGAGATAAGCAGTGACTTCCCAAGGCCATAAATCTGGTTAGAGGAAGAGCTAGAGCTTGAATCTAGATTTCCTGATTTCAATTTCAGTGAAATTCCCCAAATTTGCTGATCAGCCTATTGCCTCTTAATTGGTAGTTTCTTTATCTGTTCAATGAGTCAATTGAACTAGATATTCTACAGCCTGGGACTGTGAAATAGTTTCTAGAAGTGTCCTAGAAGTGGGAGAAAACATGTAATTTTGAACAGCTAGGGAGGAAAATAAGTACTTGAAAAGGCAGTGACAATCAACATACAAAAGGAATGGGGGGAGGTACTGAGGGATAGGAGAAGAGAATAATAGGGATGGAACAATTCACGTGGTCTATTCAGTTCACAGAGGCTTTTTCTTGAAATAGCTCTGTGAGATAGGTCATATAAGTATTATTACTCCAATTTTACCGTTAAAGAACCTGAGGCTTGCAGAGACTAAAATGATTTAACATAGGAGCATAGATTTAAAGTTGAAAAGGACATTGGATGTTATTGCTTCCAACCTCATCATTTTACAGATGAGGAAACTGAGGCTCAAAGACATAAAATGACTTTTCCAGGGTCACCTAGCTAGTAAGTATTTAAGGCAGGACTTGAACTCAGATTTTCCTGAAAGCAAGAACTTTTCTCATTAAAGGCTATAATACTTGAAGGTGACATTTAATATAACCCAGGTTAGTAAAAATAAAAATAATTTTGAGCTTTGAGACCTGGTGTCTTGTCCTGGCTTTGACACTTAATAGTCGTATGACCCTGGACAAATCAGTCCCCTCTCCCTCAACAACCTCAGACTCAGTTCTCTCTTCTTGTCAAGTGATGACAATTACATCAACCACTCTTCACTTCACAGAGTGGTGATGAAGAAAGTGCTATGTTTAGATGGGAATTATTACCATTATGTCAAAGCTCAGCACTCCGCCCCTCATTCATTGAAGAGAACATGACAGTCACTCACCTGAAGCACCTCATCGTGCCAAGAAAGCGATGGGAAGTTCCCGGTTGGGGACCAGGATGCCCAGATGCAGCATTTCCACTGGCTTGTTGTCTAAGGCTATAATGTCATATTTTCGTACAATCTGGAACACACAGTGACATAGAAACAGAATTACCCACTGTCTTTCCTTCCTTGCAGAATCATCCAAGGTTCATTGTGATAAAAATTCTTGACCAGGAAAGAAGCTTCAAGAAATTTTACCCAGCAAAGAGCCAAATGGAGCTGGAGTTCAGCTAAGCGCCGCCCAATGCACATCCTCTTCCCGATACCAAATGGAAGGTGAGCGAAAGGATGGATTTTCTTCTTTTCCTGAAGCCAACGTTCTGGTCTATACTGACTCCAGTCTTCAAAATTTTCTTCATTAGATCCCAAGAACTGAGTATTTAACATTAAAACTGTCTAAAAATACACACATCATTCATATTAATCAGAAGGGAAGGTTCAGGAGAAGTGATAAAAATACAACAACAACAACTATTACTGCTACTACTGATAATGCATGATTTAGTTTTTTTCAAATTGTCTTCTCATAACAACCTTCTGAGATAGGTGGTATAAGCATTATCACCCTTTTTTGCAGAAGTAGAAACCAAATCTCAAGGAAGTGAAATGACGTGTCCCAAGTCACATAGCTACTAAGTTTCATAGCTAGAACACCTCCAGAGCCCCTCAGACTCTAAATCCAATGTCCTTTCTTCTGTACTATACTCCCTTTCACCAATATTTGTATACCTAACAATTAATATGTAGTCCTGCTAAATAAACCTTCAACATGATATTTTCCCCTTTTATTTGAATTGACACTCTCCTGGAAGGCAACTGTCAAAAGCTATGTCCACCTCTCTTTAGGAATCTCTTTCAAATCAGTGCTAATAACAAAACCACTAAGTTCTACTCACCCCTTTGGTTAATGCATAGTCTCCAAGAACCATTTCTTGGTCAAGAGTCCTAGTTGTAAATGGCACAGATGGTGTTAGCCTAAAAAAACAGGTACAAGTTATCAAAGTTGGGCAGTGATTAAATTCTATATCAATTATTAATAGGAATTAGATTCTCATCAAATGAATCAGGCAGTGTAGTGATGTGAAAAGATAAATGACATAAGAGTGAAAGGACTTGGGTTCTAATCAGGTTCTGTCATTAACTTGCCATGTGACTTTAGGCCAATCATTTCATCTCCCTGGGCCTAAAAACATGCTCCCAAGCTAATTAATCAATGCTCCCGTTATTCCTGTGAGCATTGTTATTATTTTGAACTTAGAAATGAAGGATAGAACACATATGACTTGCCCAGCCTTTCATGAAAAATGGAGAACAAGAATGTGATTTAAAGGTTCATAGGATTTAGAGATGGAAAGGATCGTAGGGATCACTGTCTTATTTGATATGTGAGTAAACTGAGGCCCAGAGAGTTGTGACTTTGCCAAGGCCATACAGTTAGCAAGGCGCTGTGTCAGGATTTGAACCCAGCACTTCTGATTCCAAATCCAGTCCACTTCTCATAATGCATCAAGGCCTCCTTAAATCCTGTTTTCATAAACTAACTTTCATTTCCATCTGGGGTGCTTTGAATCTGGGAGGTGCAGGAAAGGGAGGAAAAGAGCGAAAGGGGATGGCCTATTAAATCATGAGTCAATAAGGCAAAAAGGAATTTTTCACCACAACTTAGACCATTAAGATTATGTTTCTGTCAGTGGGCATATGTATTTTACCTCATTGATTCTTTCAGGCAGGCTTTTAAATAAGGCATATTCTTCAAGTCCTCTGCATTGGGTGTCTGTTGCTCAGGCAAAACTCTCTCTATTTCCTCAAGAAGCTTCTTCTGCACCCGAGGATTTCGAGATAAATTATACAGAACCCACAATAAGCTGTTGGCTGTCTGAAATACAAATAGACACCATCATCAAGGCAGGTAAGTGGTTTAGTGAATAGAACATAGTACTTAGCAACGAAAAGACCTGAGTTTTAATTTTGCCTCCAATACTTACTTTGTAAAGTGCTTTGAAAACCTTAATGTGCTCATTATCTTAGGATCATAGGTTTAGAACTAGAAGGGACCTGAAACTCCAACTTCTTCATTGTACATATGGGGAAACTGAGGCTCAGAGGGAGTAGAGATTTGCCCAAGGTAGTAAATGGCAGGGCTAAGATTCGAACAGCACACACACAGACTCTGAATCTTGCACTGTTTCCTCTACACTGTGGTGCCATTTAAAGACCTTGCTTTGAAGCCACCTGCTGTCAGAACCCTCTGGGTGTGATGGAAAGTTTAGCTCTTCTTTCTGTACATTATGGAAGCGCCCAGTTTTAAGCAAAAGCAGAGTGTGATTTCTCAACTTCTTTTGTGCATTTAAAATGTGCCTCAATTCATATATCTTTGAGGAAAAGCATCTGTTGTATAAATTGAGATACATCCAGACCCCAAGCTGTGAATTTTTTTCACCTTCTTCCTATTCCCAACTAAAATAGCTCTTCTAAAATTAGGAAGGGATATGTAGTAGGGGGTGAGGATGGTTGGGAGGCATGACAGATTGTTTGCTAATAAAGCTTTAAAATAAGAGTTTGAGTATGGAGTGATATAGGCAGCTAGGTAGCAGAGCAGATAGAGGGCCAGCCTGGTCGTCAGGAGGACTATCTTCCTGAGTTCAAATTGGGCCTCAGACATTTCCTAGCTGTGTGACTCTGAACAAGTCACTTAACCTTGTTTGCCTCAGTTTCCTCATCTGTAAAATGAGCTGAAGAAGGAAATGGCAAACCATTCCAGTATCTCTGACAAGAAAACCCTAAATGGAGTCACAAAGAATGAGACATGACTGAAATGACTCAACAACAATAACAAATGAAATGGTATGGTAGACAAGAAGCTAACATGGAAGTCAGAAAGCCCTGGGCTCAACCTAGGCTCAAGGTTCATCTCTGATATACACTGCAAAGCCATCTTGTCTCTTAGGGTACCCCAGACATTTCTCTAACACTATAAATTATAGAGCAGCTGTTAAACTATGCTGGTAGAGGGCAATTTCTCACTGGGAGTTCCTTAAAACATTGAAATCGTACAGCTGGACAATGCAATTAAAAAGAGATTATCTTATACTGAAAATTCAATGCAAATCCATGCAACAATTATTAAATGCCTACTATATATGAGGGACTATATATAAAATAACAATCTTTATCATCAAGGAGTTTACAATCTAGTGGATTCATAATAACTTTCCTTTCTGACAATAAGAATTTACTTTAGGTAAATCATTTCCCCTCTTCTATCCTCAGTTTCCTTATCTGGAAAATGGGGATAGTTTTGTTATCTACCTGTCTACCTCACAGAGTAGTCATGAGAAAATCTCTGTGCTACTCATATGTGAGCTACCAAAAAAATTCAGTTCTTTTCTTTCTCATTCCCTGGGAAGTTCATTCCTACATAAACAAAGATGCTGCCCCTACCCACGGCTTCTACCAAAATATGAAATTCTGGCTTTCACTTGTTCTTAATAAAAGCTTGTTTCATTTTTTAAAATGGCATCACGTATTTTCCAAAGGAAACTAAACAAGGAGGGGGAAAATAGCCCAGACAGCCTGTCCAGCCCTTTGCAAAAACACATGCCAAATTATGATGGTTTCGGTGAATGGTGTGTGGTGTCAGGCTGCAGTAGCTAAATTGGACAATATATTCCTCTGGAAATAGTCGGAGTGACCTCTCTACAGACCTGAATATGCTCTCGCCAAGTGCCATGTACAGTTCTCTGAAAATATATATGTGATGCCCAGACCAAACAGCACATTGGGAGAGGGCTCAAAGCAAATCAGATTTATTATTTTTGGAATAGGAGGCTTTGATGGCAGGTTGTTTCAAGTCACAAGATTCTGGTGGTTACAGCTGCAAATAAACTGGTGGAAGGCATTATTGTAATAGCCCAATTTTCAAAACAGGAAGAAGGCATAGCCACCACATTAGATATGCTTTCAAATTTCTCAGATTTACCGAATGTGACTTTCAGAATAGCCAGGCCAAATAAAGAAACAGATCTAACCATATCAATAAGTCTTTCACCACAAGTACTCTCCAGTGTTTCCGAATGACAGCTAACTATAGGCTTCACCAAAAGTATCCAAGACAGGCTGCACTTTTCCATTGGGACCTGTCCTCGGAAACCTCCTCAGCCAACTGGCCTGGGTACTGAGTATGATCCTCATGAATAGTGCAAAAGAATGGATAGAAGAAGCTATGGTTTTCTTAATCCAGGTACCCAGCACTCCTGAATCCAAAGCTGGCAATTGAGTTGAATTCACTCTCAACTTCGTTACAATTTGCGAAGTCAACACAGTGGGAAAGGCAGAAATAGTGTCCAAGGATAAGCCCTCTACTATGAGAGTGACCTAGTGTGAGACCTCATTTCAATTAGCCTGAAGTATAAGAAACGAGAATTAACATCTTAGTTCCACTGAGAAGTATAATTCTACCAAGCACCTTCACTTTTTCTATATGAGAAATATTATTATTATTATTATTATTATTTGGTGAGGCAATTGAAGTTAAGTGACTTGCCCAGAGTCACACAGCTAGCAAGTGTTATGTGTCTGAGGTCGGATTTGAACTCAGGTCCTCCTGACTCCAGGGCTGGTGTTCTATCCACTGCACCACCTAGCTGCCTCGAGAAATATTATTTTTGCAAAGGAGCACAAAATGCAACAGGGAGAGGAAGTATGAGAGAAATCTCTGTGTAGTTTGCTCAGAACCGAGGAAGGAGAAGCAATGTTGAGTTGGGGTGGGATGTTGTAATAATAATGAGATAGGGTCTAAACCTGCGATTTCATTGGTATAGGAAATTCCTGCATAAGGAAACTCCCTCTCAGGTAGATCAGCACTTCTTCTATAATTTAATGCCTTAGAAAGTTATCTAGTGCACTCAGAAAGTGAGTGCTTAAAGATACACAGATGGTATGTGTCAAAGGCAGGATTGGAGCCCAATGCTTTCTGATTCTTACACTGGTTCTTGAGCCACAACACACCCACGGGCTCTCCAATAATAACAATGACAATAAATTTTCATATTTATGTACTACTTTAAGTCCATCTTCAACATTTCAAGACTCTGTGGTTTCACCAGTGGGGATACTCACTTGAATAATAATAATAGCTAACATACATGTAGTTCCTACTAAGCACTACTCTACTAATTCAGATTGCAATGTCTTCATCACTTTATAGAAACTAAGTAAGTTACTCTGGCCACAAAATTTCATTCCCTGGCCTCTATTCCTTTAGTGATCAGTGAGGCTGGTCCTCAGATAACAGAAAGCATTTATTTAGGGCTAACTCTGTACTAGGCACTGCTCTATGAAGTGGAGATACAAAGGAAGGCAAAGCTATGGTTCCTGCCCTCAAGGAGCCAATCTTCTAATAGAAGAGGCAACATATAAATAATTAAGTACATGCAGGATATCTACAGAGGGGATGAAATGCAGTCTGAGAGTGAGGGGAGGGCACTAACAATTGGGGGGCATCCAGAAAGGTCTCCTGAAGAAGGTCGGGATTTTAGCAGAGTCCTAAAAGAAGCCAGGGAAACTAGGAGGCTGGAGTGCCCAGGGAAAGCATTTCAGACATGGCGGACATCTAGTGCAAAGGCATGGAGTCTACTATCATGCCAGCACTGCTGAATGGAAGAGAGTAAAGTATAACAAGCCCAGGAAAGTACCAAGAGGCCAGGTTATGAATACCAGAGCATTTTATATTTATTTATATATCATTTATATATTTATTTGTATATTCATATAGACAATATTTTCTATTTTATCCTGGATATAATAGGAAGCCTCTGGAATTTACTGTGTGTATAGGGAGGAGGGGAGTGACATGATTACCTAATCTTGACAAAGATTCACTTTGGCTGCTAAGATTGAAGTGGGAACAAAATTGAGGCAAGGAGACCAGTTAGAAGACTCTACAAAACACATACTAGACGAGACAAGAGTCCAGTGTCTAAAGCATCTTTTACTTTAAATAAAATGTGAAATTTCTGTTCTTCAAAGAAGTCTATCTTTATCTATACCAGTGGTTCTTAACCTAAGGTCTGTAATTTTTTTAAAAATGTTTTTAGCTGTATTCCAATATAGGCAGCTAGGCGGCACAGTAGATAGAATGTTGGGGCTGGCATTAGGAAAAACTGAATTCAAATATGTGACCTTGTGTAAGTCACTTAACCTCTGTTTCACTCAGTTTCTCCAAATATAAAATGGAGATAATAATAGCACCTACCTCCTAGAGATGTTGTGAGGATAAAATGAAATATTTGTTCAGTGTTTAGCACAGTGCCTGGTATGTAGTAGGCACCATATAAATGTTAGTTATTATTATTTTATATAGTTGTTTTCCTTTGTAAAACTATGCTTTTGTTTTTATACATTTAAGATCACTATTTTAAGAAAGGGTCCATAGCCTTGTCCAGGCTGCTAAACTGGTCCAAGACACAAAAAGGTTAAGAGCCCCTGAGTCACAGAATTCTTGGTTTAAAAAAAACAAAACAAAAACCTAGTCTGGCTGGAGCATCCACATGACTGTTGGGTCCCCATGTAGAAGAGACAAACAGGGCCTTACCGTTTCCACTGCACCTAGCTGGAGCTCTGTAACAGCTGCATACAGCTCCTTTTTAGAAAGCTGATTCTGGTGATAAATATCACAAAGAAAATCCTCACTGGGATTCTCTGAGTGTTTTTCCAGGCGATTGTTGATGCATGATTTGGCTGTAGGAAGAGGAGAGAAGTGGGAAAGAATTGAGGTTATACAATTATAATTAGGATAGGAGAAGGGCCATCAAATTAAAATCCCAAGCCAAGATTTTCTCTGCAGCAGAATTTAATTAAAATGGAGAATAACAAATAAGACAATGAGGAATGACAAGATCTTTCAATTCAATTCAATTCAACTAACATTTAAGTGGCTATACTATTATCAATCAATCAAAAAGCATTTAGGATGCTTACTATTCTCTGAGTACCATGCTAAGCACTGGGGATCCAAAGAAAAATAAATAGCTGTTTCCTTCAAGGAGCTTATATTCTATCAGGGGAAGTATTATGTACTATGGGTAAGGCACACGATATCTTCCATTTCATTTTGTGCCAACACACCATATTTACTCAATGTCCTTTTCTATAAAATACATATTAAAAGCGATAATTTCTCAAATTCATTCAATTCCTTCCAGCTTTTCATAGATTGGTCCTATGAAGTGTCAGCTGTATGCCTGGCACTAAACTAGGAACTGCAAACACATTTTTGTTGTTGTTATTCAATCATTTCAGTCATGTCCTGTCTCTTCATGATGCCATTTGAGGTTTTGCTGGCAAAGATACTGGTAAGGTCCGCCATTTCCTTCTCTAGCTCATTTTACAGATGAGGAACTGAGGCAAACAAGGTTAAGTGACTTGCCCAGGGTCACACAGCTGGTAAGTGTCTGAGGCCAGATTTGAACTTAATGAAGATGACTCGTCCTGATTCCAAGGCCAGGGCTCTATGTGCTGCACCACCTAGCTGCTCCTTCAAACATGTACTAGGCCTTGTGCCCAGTAGAAGGTTCTTTTCTCAAAACACATTTGTATTCCATTAGTTATATATGTGTTTCATTATTATTTCTAGGGACCTAGTGATACTCCTGTGCAGATCCTTAATAGGAGCAGAAATGATCAGTTCATAGCAAAGGTGGGGTCTGAAACTCTTGCTCTCAGTAGACTAGTGCCTATACTCAGTATCTTGAACCAAGTGGCTGCCCTAAGATGCATTCTCCTGATTCCTACCTCCCCTCCATCCCCAAGTTTCAGGTTCTCCTGTGGGTAGATGTTAGGGAAGGCAAAGCTAACATACAATATGTATGTGGCTAAAGTTGATTCTCTTGCTCTGCATTTATAGGCTCATGGACCTTGAAGGTCTACAGAGGCCATCTAATTCAATACCCTTACTATAATGATGAAGAAAATGAGGCCCAGGAGGATTAAATGACTTGTCCAAGGATCCACAGGTGGAAAGCACCAGAGGTGGGGTTTGAACCCAGGTTTTGTCTCCTCAGTCATTGCTATCACCCTGACATGTTGTGAGAGATTTGACTACAGGGGAAACCCATGCTAATTTGAAATGAAAGCACGACTGAATTACCAGTCCTGACTAGAGGAGAGAATGCTGCGTTAGAGAGATTTCTACTGTACTTTGAGGACACAAGAAATTCTAGACTCCTCTTTTTCATGAAAGAGGCAAATCTTAGGCCTGCCTCTTAGGCAAAGTAGTTAACATAATAGGAGTAAAGAATAATTCAAAGGCAGAAAGAAGCCTTCAATTTTATGTGCTATTATTATCCCTATTTACAGAGGAGGAAATAGGCTGACACAAGTTAAGAAAATTTTCCAGTCTAATGTGTGTCTGAGGTAGGTTCAAACGCAGATCTTGTGGACTCCAAATCCAGTACTCTATCCACTACACCACCTGATGAATAGCCAGATGGACTTGGAGCCAAGAAGACCTGGGTTCAAGACTTACTTCTGATATACACTGACTGCGTGATCCTGGGCAAGTCACTTAATCTTTCAAAGCTCTCAGCAATTCTTGAAGACTGTAAGAAGTGGAGATGTCCACCTGCATTGGCAAAGGGGATTTCCTGACTGGGAGTTCCCTATACCAGTGAAATTACAGAGGGAATCCATCTCTAAAATGGTTCTAATAATCCTTGAACTCCTCCATTAAATCCTACACCGATTCTTCCTTATAGGATAACAGGGACTGTGAGCTTTTGAAGGCTATGCCAATAGAGTATGAGCACTCATAGGACTTCCCATCCTGGAAGACTATAAGTACAGGCCTGGACTTGAGTAGGCTTGAACTTGCCTATCATCTGAGGCCCAGCTTAAGGAAATGCACAAAGCATATCACCAGAAGGTCACAGAATCAGAATTTGGAGCCTCAAGGGAACTTAGAGGTCATTAAATCCAATCTCTCCATTTTAATGATGAAACTGAGGCCCAGAGAGGTCAAATAACTTGTCCAAGGACACAAATAATAAGTAGCAGAAGCAGGATTTGAACCCAGGTCCCCTGACTCCACATCTGATGTTCTCCACTGTAACATATTTCCATACTTCAACCACAATAATTCATGCATGGAGAGAGTTTGTTTTTTTTTTTTTATCAGTGGTGGGAATGTCTATACTGAAGTCATCATGAAGTTTTGCAAAGTATCAAGGTAAGCCCTGCTTTTCCTATCTCACAAATTTGCTACGAAGATTAAATGAGGTTAAAAGAGTGTTTGAGATCATTGAATCCAGTCTTCTGGTTTTACAAATAAAACTGAGGCCTAGACTTGCTGAAGTCATACAGGTAGTTAGTAGTAGAGGTGGGCTTCAAACTCAGGTCCTCTGACTCACAGGATCACAGATTTAGAGCAGCAAAGGACCTTAGAAGTTACTTAGTCTGATCTCTTTATTTAACAGGGTAGTAAACTGAGACCATTGAAGAGAAGTGACTTTCGTAGGATCCCGAGAGTGTCAGAGACAGGATTTGAACTCAGGCCCTCTGTCTCCAAACCTAGCATGCTTTCTGCTATGCCAGGTTGCCTTACCTCCAAATCCCGTTCTTTATTCCCTGTGTGATGCTGTCTCTCCTCTGTATAAAGAGCCTTACAACAATAAAGTGTGATTTGAATTTACATTTATAGTGTTACTAAACACAGAAACAGTTGTCATTATTGAACAGGCAATCTGGGGTGGAGAAGGGAAGGTGCAGCCTACTCTCTGAGCTAAAGGGTTCGATGTTGAGTTACACTTCGTCGTTCCTATAGAAGGCTCTGCTGCTGTGGTCTTGTCAAATCTCAAGAGAAAGGCAGAAGAAAGTCAGAGAATAACAAAATGAGTCAGAGCAGGCCAGTGAGGAAGGCTGGGCAAAGAAGAGAAACAGCATCTTCAGCAGAGCTGCCCAAACTCCGTCTATCAGGGAGAAGATCCAGTCAGGCCTTCAGGAAAGGACCTTCTCACCTGATTTAAAGATGTTGTCCCAAGCCTGAGTGTGCATCTGCCACACCTTGGTGTTCAGGGTTTTGTGAAGCTCCACTGGGGTCACCATCATCCTCCCGAAAGTGCTCATCATCTGTGAGAAAGCAAACACATTTCCATTCCTTGTCTTTCCAAAGAGAACCAGGGCATTATGAATCTTAGTGAAAATCTAGACTCTCAAGAGTTGGAATGGATCTCAGAGGGCATATGGTCATAGGGTAGGATGGTAGAGATGGTATCTGTGATTCCCTTAGTATGAGAAAAGTCCTTCTATCAATTCAGGTCATCACCTTCTCAGAGAATGGCCTATTGGCCTTAGAGTAGTGGTGTCAATTTCAAATAAAAGTGGACCCATACTGCTGCATATGGATTAGAAAACATCAAATTAACATTGTCTATGTTGTATTGTATTCTTATGTATCTTGTTAAACATTTCCCAGTTATATTTTAATTTGGTTCAGGCCCAGGGAGACTCAACCAGGATGTGTCAGAAGTAGGACTTGAATGCAGGCCTCCCTGACTTCTTGAGTTTGGCTCTCTGATGCCAGAATTTAAAAGCTATTTAATTTAATTTTTTCAAAGTATGCTAAAACTTTGATAGACTTGGCTCTTCTCAGCAATGCAAGGATCTAAGACAATTCCAAAAGACTCACAATGGAAAATGCTATCCACATCCAGAGAAAGAACTATAGGAGTCTGAATATAGATCGAAGCATATTATTTTCTCTTTTTTTGTTTTTTCTTTCTCATGGCTTTTCCCTTTGTTTCTCATTCTTCTTTACAACATGACTAATGTGGAAATATGTATAATATGAGTACATGTATAGTTTATATCAGATTGCATGCCATCTTGAGGGAGGGGAGAAATTTAGAACTCAAAATTGTGTAAGTGAATGTTGAAAACTAAAAATAAATAAATTAATATTTTAAAAAATTTTTTTAAAAGCATGCTAAACATTGAATCCTTCCTAGATGAAACTGCATATGAATCCTTACTTTAGATCAGTTATAACTAGAAGCAACCACAGTTTCCACTGTGATTGATACAAGCTAAAATCAATCCCTCAAAGTTCTGAAGTCGGTGGTATTGGTTTTTTGTCTTTGTTCCCAAACCTTCCTCTATCATCAGAGAATAGATGTAGAGCTACAAGGGACCGCCAAGGCCATCTAGTCCAATTTCCTCATTTCACAGATGAGGAAACTGAGTCCAAGGTGACTAAGTGACCTGCCAATGTTCCACAGGCAGAAAGTGGCAGAGACAGGATTTGACCCCAGGTCCTCTGGCTCCAAATTCAGAATTCTTTGTACTATATCATATATGCCACAGTGAACAGGATGGAATATGATTTAATTTCTGCAAAAACTTTTTACCAGATCAATTCTGATTGAGTAGATACAATAGATTCCATAGCTATTTTGAAACTTTTCATTCAAAACAATTAAGATACATATGATTTCATAATTCAATTTGGCGATTTAACTCCACCCAGGAAAACCACACATCAAACAAATTCTTACTGTTTTGATGGATGTAATGAAGTTCAAAGCATCATCACTGGTATTGTTCTGCAGCAGTCCAAATCTCTTTTCATACAGCACTAGGCAAATACCTGTTATTTAAAAAAAACATGGGTGTTACACAATAGCAACAACCCTGGAGTCTGTGATTATCTGGCTATTAAAGGTTCAGTTCTGTCTCCTGTGGAAGCATTGGCTTTTCCAAGAACAAATAAGGAAGCCAAGAACTCAATGGCCTTTCATGGCCTGGTGCAAAGTAAGGAAAACAAGCTGAGGGAAGTGGTAGGATCCCCGCAACTGAAGGGTTCACCTCACCTCTGTGATGAGAAATCAGCCTCTCTTCCAAGGGCCTTGCTTGCTTAGAAACTCCTTGCTGGAATATGATTGAGTTTAGGATTCCCATAATTTAATCAGGATGACTTAAGATGGTGCTCAAAAATACTGTAAGGCTGTGTCTGTTTGATATCAGTAGCTCATCTGTCCTGGTATAGATACTTTTTGATCCTCCCTGTCTACACAACCAAAGGGAGTTCTACTCGTTATTGGGGTAGTAATCTTGAACACTAAAACAAAGGAATGAAGGAGAAGTCACATCTCCTGTGACTTAGGAGACAATGGAATGGTTTTCCAGAGAAGTCAAGAGTTGAGAAGTTAAGGGGAAAATGTTTTTATTCTTTTTTAAAAGCAGTTCAAAGTTCTCATTCCATCAGCTTTTACAACCTTGAAACCTTCACTCATCCCCTGCTAGCCGGAAGGAATGTCTCCCTCCTTGGACCTGCAGAGCACTTGGTAGCTCTGTTGAGCGCTTAACCAGGCTCAAAACTGAATTGGAGTTTAACTATTTGTGTTTCTGTTTTAGTTCTTCGGCTAAGTTGTGACATTCTTGAGGGCAAAGGGCTAAATCTTATTCAGCTTTCTATCTTAAGTGTCTATTACAGGGACTTGTACAGAGTAGAAGCTTAATAAATATTTGCTCAATTGAAATTAATAATAATAATTCTAGCATTTATATAACACATTAAGTTCTGCAAAGGGCTTTGCAAAGATTAGCTCATTTGATACCTACCACAACTTTGGGAGATAGATGCAATTATTATCTCCATTTTAAAGATGAGGAAACTGAGGCAGACTTGCTCAGGGTTAAGTGACTTGCCCAGAATCACAGAGCTATTAAATGTCAGAAGCTGGATTGGAACTCAGATCTTTCTGACTCCGCATCCAGAACTTTAAATACTTTATCCCCTCCCTGAACCTATATTATTTAAATTTGGGGTTCTTAAACTAGCAGCTGCCCCTTTTTGATTTAATATTTTGATGTCTTTATTTCAATGTAATTGGTTTCCTTTGTAATCCTGTCTTTTTATTTTATCCATTTAAAAACATTATTCTGAAGAGTCCATCTATTTCACCAGACTGCCAAAGGGGTTATATGACACATAAATAAACCAAAAGCCCCTGGTTTAAAGCGTAAGTCTATGTATGTACATAATACATGATGACAGACAACTAGTCTTTCTAAGTGTTAGTTATCATCAGCATTCTCATTGATGGGGATATTCTTGTAATGGGACGAGCAAGACAATTTGACTCTAGGGTCCCAACTAACTTGAAGATCTTTGTCCCATCACTTCAACTACCTTCAGTGCAAAATAGATTGGCATTAGAGATTGCTCTTTAATGAAAAAGGCACATTAACATTAATATATTCTTCCCTCATTTAGTGTCTCATGAAATAGCTAGGAAAAAGGAATTTTTGTAAAATGTAGTATTTGGAAACACACTTTTCTTTTTATGGTAGGCTGATCTACCCATAATGGCAATAAACCTGATCCCAACACAAAATAAAATAATAATAGTTTGTATTTATATATCTCTTTAAGGCTTACAAAGCATTTGTTTTTCATGATAACTCTGTGAAGGAGGTAAGCCAAGTGTTATTCCATTCTGCAAATGAAGAAACTGAGGGGCAGGAAAATTAAGTGATTTGCCCAGAGTTAAAGAGATGGAAATTGTTGAAAACAAGACTTGAATTCAGGTCTTCTGACTTGAAGACCATTCTTCCTTTCACTATCTCACACTACATTGTTGATGGCTCCATCTCAATGCTGAAAATCAATATGGCTCTGTGAGGGGCAGAAGCCAGAGTATTGAGTTCTATCTTCCTTATATACTGTATCCATTACATGTCATGCAAAACAGACCCATGTAGTCTTTGAATTGGAACATGCACATAGGCTCTTCATGTAGGAATGCATACCTTCCCTTATTTTTTTTTGCATTGTCATTTTAGATTCCATACCGTTCCAGTATAAATGGGTATTTCCAATGGATTGACAAGGTTTAATTCCCCAGACTTTCCACCTTCTCCAATTTTCTCAGTGTTCTTAGAGAACAAAATAGTATGAATGTGGAAAAGCTGAGAAGTTGTCTTCTTTAATGGAAGAGCAAAGGGCTAAAAGATTAGATTAGGTGAAAGACAAACCTAGGTTTGGGACTCGGCTAGTTTTAACATTAGCCCTTTGATATTGAATAAGACACTTTAACAAAATCTCAGTTTTCTCTTCTCTAAAATCATTAAAATACCTTTCCTATATACCTTATCATACCTAGTGAGATAATATTTGTCGATTGCCTTCCAACCAAAAAAAATTCTATGTACTTGGTAGAATTGGGTAGTGGAATGAATGCTGAACTTGGAAACAGGAGGACCTGAGATAGAATCCTATCTCTGATATTTTCTGCGATGGGACTCTGGGCAAATCACTTAATATCTCTGATGCTCAGTTTCCTATCTGCTAAATGGAGATAATAATAGCACTTGTGTTAGAGTGTTACAGGGGTAAAATGTGAAAACATACACAACATGACTTGTAAATCCTATATTATTGTGATTAGCAATAACATAGCCAGATCCTTGGTTCTTTAAACTCATATAAAAATTCTTTAAAAGCTTACTTTCAAATGACCATTTGTTCAGTTCACTATATAAGTCTTCAATTTGGCCATTTTCATTACAGAGATCATCTATTCTTTTCATAAAATCCACCAAGACCTAAGAAACAAGGACACATGGGAAGAACAAACTATTTATGGCATCATGGACTTAGTTAAGTTCTTGTGGCATTTGATACTCATGAGGTTCCTTTCCCCCACAAAGTAAACTAATTATGTGTTTCCATAAGAGCCCACCTCGTCCCCCAAACAAGTCTTGTCATCTGAGACTTTCAAAGATTTCCTGCAAATACCCACAGATCAAGTTTCAGCTTTTGATCTAAAAACGATGCTTACAATTTAAGAAAAGGAAAACATTGACTCTAATCTCAATGGGAATTAGACTGCTAAGGGATAATCATCCAAAAGGTTAGTTGGCTAAGTGCTGTGATACTGTAACTGCTCTGAGGTCTGCCACTTCCTTATTTGGAAAAGAACTTTTCATAGATCTGATCTAGTGGAAGAAATCCTGAGCTGGGGGTCAGTCAGGAGAGCTGAGTTCTAGTTCAGTTAGTTCAAGTAATGCTGTTACTTGTTGTACAACTTTGGGCAAGCCATCTGACCTCTATAAGCCTCAGTTTCCTCCTTAGTAAAGTGAGGGGTTTGTTGTTCAATCATATCTGATTCTTCATGACTCCATTTGGAGTTTTCTTGGTAAAGAAAACTGGAATGGTTTTCCATTTCTTTCTCCAGCTCATTTTACAGGTGAGGAAACTGAGGTAAACAGGGTTAAGTGACTTGCCCAGGGCCACACAGCTAGTAAGTGTCTGAGGCTGGACTTGAACTTGGGAAGATGTGAGTCTTCCTGATTCCAAGCCCAGTGCTCTATCCACTGTGTAACCTAGCTGCGCAAAGTGAGGGGGTGACCAGGATTCTGAGGTTCTTTCTAACTCTGCTTCAAAGACTTTTAAAAGTAGATAATCAAATCAAACAAAATGTACACACCACAGTGCTAAAACCATGTGAGTGGTGGGTGGCATAAAAAGCCCCTTTGTTAAGCATGTATATGCAGTATTTAACAACATGCAAGTGCTTTCCCTTGGAAACATATAGTAACTTCTGTGTGGTTGGCATTTCCTGATACACTGATGTCTCAATCAGCCAGGGAAGCCTAGAGAAATCACTTCAGAACTTAAACCTGATAACTAAAGATTACCCTGGGATAAGTTGTAAGGAAGAGTACCTTAGTGAGGTATTTCAATTCTCAAAGTTTTGTTACTTAAGGCCTAACATTTTTCTTTAGGATGGACCCTTGACTTCATTGGTATAGGGAACTCTGGGTAAGGAGATTATCAATAATACTTTCTCTGCAACTTATAGTATAAAAGTGTTGTATTTGTCATTGGAAGGTTAGGTGACTTGCCCAGGGTCACACAACCAGTATGTGTCAGAGGCAAGACTTGAACATATCTCTTCCTGACTCTCTTTGCTGGGGATAGGTAGCTGGTGGCTTAGTGGATAGAGCTGGAGTCAGGAAGGCCTGAGTTTAAATCCAGCCTCAAACACTGACTAGCTGTGTGACCCTGAGCAAGTCACTTAACCTTTGTTTGCCTCAGTTTCCTGAACTGCAAAACGGTGTTTGAGAACAGTACCTACCTCCCAGAGTTGTGAGAGGATTGTATCTGTAAAAAGTGCTTAGTACAATATCTGGCACATAGTAGGCACTATATATATATATACTTATTCTATCTCCCTCCCCATTTTACCAGCACATAGTAGGAGATATATATATATATATATATACACACACATATATATATGTATGTATATACTTCTTCTATCTCTCTCCCCATTTTACCAGTGGACTGACACACAACACCATAAAGCAAAGGTATCTTCTTTAATTAAAGATACATTTACGTTAGTTATGCTCAAGAATTTATTTTCCTGAGCATATCTTAAGCTGCATAGGATCTAAATGAAACCTGATACAAACCTAACAACTTTTAGCACTTTCTCTCTGGAAAGAGACATATTCCAGGTTGTTTATCCTGAACTCTCTCCTCATGTCTGAATCTATTCTACTCAAATTGGGAAATTGATAGAACTCCTTAGAGAATTTGAGGTAAAAAAATCACTTCTGCATAAATTACTTGGATATTTTTCAAAGGTATTGGGGGTGGGAAGGAAAGAAGGAATTCCCTTGATTTCTCTAAAAATTGGTCTCATTTCTAAAGCATGCCTTATGGATCACACTTTTGTTTTTATAAACTTCTCATTATTTCCAGAAGCACAGGCAAGGGGCAGCCTCAGTAACAAGTACCTCATTGATTTTCTCATCCAGCTTCATAATTTCTGTGGGCTTCATTAGCTTTTTTTGAAAGGCACTCCTTACTCTCTGCCAATCTTTCCCTTCCCTGAGGATGAAAAGAGGATGTTATTTAAAACAAAAGAAGGAACTCTTCTAAGTCTAAAAGTTCACCATTTACATAGCTCAAATGAAATAGTTTTAAAGCAAATTACCTGTCTAATTTAGATGGAGGTCTAAATGATACAGACCATTTAGATAGCATGATTTAGTGAACAATAAAGTTCTAAACTTAGAGTTAGGAAGACCTAAATACAAATGTTGACCAGATCCTTACTAGTAGTGAGATCATAAGCAGATCACTAATCTCTCTTAGCCTCAGTTTCCCCTTTTGTAAAATGGAGATAATAATATATGTAGTATCCACCTCACATGGTTGTTGTGAGGCTCAAATGAGACAATGTGGGTAAAATGCTTTATAAACTTTAAGGAGCAATATAAATGATGTTGTTTTATGGTGGTTGTTATTTCCACTTGGGACCCATTTGCTTAGGAGGATGGAAGAACTTTCACTCATGGTCTAAAAATGTGCTTGGGTGAGAAGTCAAGAAAGTCTTATTCAGAGATGATGTTTTCCCCTCACTTTGTAAGCCAAAACAGGAAAGGTACATTGGGCAGAATTGGGAGACTTGGTTTCAAGGCAAAATGTCTCTGGATCTCCTAAGAGAGACTGATCTCTGCAAACTCAAATGATCCCAGCAAGTCTTTCTTACAGCCCAGGTAAGAAGGTAGCCCTGACCATATCTAGTTCCAACCCAGTGCCTCCTCCCAGCTAGTCCATTCTTCTCTCCTTCTCCTTTGTCAGGAGTTTGTAGGTGTTTCCAAATGTGCCTCTGCAGTTTTCTCCCCTCATATCTTTTCCCCTTAAAATCTGGAATTTACAATCTGTCTTCATTAGGTTAGGATTTCCAGCTAATCCAGGTGAAAGTCTCACTGATTCTACAGATAATATGAATTCCCTATCTTCCCCTTTCCCTAATTACAAAGGCATCAGGAACTCCACCAGGATAGTTTCTTCCAGATAGGGCACTCCATGTCCGGAAAGTCTTATGACTTTGGAACATAGGGTTTTGAAGTTTAAAAGGACTCTATTGGTCATCCTTTCATTTTACAGAGAGTGAAACGAGGCCTAAGCCAGCAATTCAACTTCATATCTAGGGTTTTGTTCGCATATTCCTGTCTGACTATCCTTCAAGGCTCCCTGATAAAACCCCAGTTTCAAGGAATAGACCCTTGTTCTTTCCCTTTAGCAAGGGGAAATAGACTCCCATTGGAGTCCCGACTTACAGAATCAGCAGCCCATAGCCCTCCTTGCGATAGTCACGATAGGCTTTCCAGGGTTTGATTTCCAGTCGCTGGGGGTACATGCTTTCCTTGCGGAAGAGTGCCTCCAGCAGACACGGGGAGCCCAGGTGGACAGAGTCGAAGGAGCCCAGCTTTATGCGGAAAATCTTGCCAAACTTCTTATGGTACCCTGCCTGGAAAAAGATTTGAAAGGGGTGTGTGTGTGTGTGTGTGTGTGTGAGAGACAGAGAGACAGAGAGACAGAGAGAGAAGAGAGAGAGAACATATGTTCTTTCTGAGCATATCTGGATGAGGGCACAGGGAGAGTGCTCCCAATCTCTTCTCTTCTCTTCTCTCTCTCTCTCTCTCTCTCTCTCTCTCTCTCTCTCTCTCTCTCTCTCACATCCAGATATGTTATCTCTCTCTCTCTCTCTCTCTCTCGGTTTCTGTCTCTGGCTGTTTATGTCTCTGTCTTTGGCTGTCTCTCTGCTGTCTCTCTCTCTGTCTCTCTCTCTCTCTTTGTGTCTCTGTGTGTGTGTGTGTGTCTCTCTCTCCTCCACCCCCTACTCTCCTTTGCTCTGTCTTTGTCTCTGTCTGGCTCTCTCTCTTTGGTTCTCTCTCTCTCTGACTCTGTCTGTGTCTCTGTCTCTCTCTGTTTCTCTCTGTCTGTGTGCCTCTCTCTGTCTGTGTGCCTGTCTCTGTCTGTCTGTCCGTATGTCTCTCTGTCTGTCTGTCTCTTTCTTTGTGTCTCTGTCTCTGCTTATCTCTGTCTGTGTCTCTGTCTTTCTGTCTGTCTCTCTTTCTCTGTCTCTGTCTGTGTCTCTGTCTCTGGCTGTCTCTACTCTCTGCTGTCTCTATCTCTCTCTCTGTCTCTCTCCCTCCCTCCCCCTGTCTCGCTCTTTGTCTCTCTCTGTCTCTGTATGTCTCTCTTTCTCTGTGTCTCTGTCTGTGTCTGTGTCTCTGTCTCTCCTCTCTGTCTCTTTTTGTCTCTGTCTTTCTCTGTCTCTGTCTCTCTCTCTGTATCTGTCTCTCTCTTTCCCTTCCCCTCTCCCCCCCTCCCTCTCTCTCTCTCTCTCTCTCTCTCTCTCTCTCTCTCTCTCTCTCTCACACACACACACACACACACACACACACATTCTCTCTGGCTCTGTCTGTGTCTCTGTCTCTCTCTCTGTCTGTGTCTCTGTCTCTCTCTGTGTCTCTGTCTGTGTCTGTCTCTCCTCTCTCTCTCTCTGTCTTTCTGTCTCTGTGTCTTTATCTCTTTCTGTCTGTCTCTGTCTCTCTCTAACTCTCTGTCTCTGTCTTTCTATCTCTCTCTTTCTCTGTGTCTCTGTTTCTGTGTCTGTCTCTACTCTCTCTGTCTCTCTCTGTCTTTGTCTCTCTCTGTCTCTGTCTCTCTCTCCCTCCCTCTCTGTCTCTGTCTCTCTCTCTGGCTCTGTCTGTGTCTCTGTCTGTCTCTGTCTCTCTCTCTGTCTATCTCTGTGTCTCTGCATCTGACTCTCCTCTCTGTCTCTCCTTTTCTGTCTCTGTCTCTGTCTGTCTCTCTATCTCTCTCTGTCTCTGTTTCTGTCTGTGTCTGTCTCTCCTCTCTGGCTCTGTCTCTCTCCTCTCTGTCTCTGTCTCTCTCTCTGTCTCTCTGTCTCTCTCTGTCTCTGTGTCTGTCTGTCTGTCTCTCTCTCTCTCTTTCTGTCTCTCTCTCCCCTTCTACCATTTACTGTAGTTACTGGAGGACCAGAGGATACAGACAGCCTGGAAGCTGGAGAGGGTCTTGCCCGCTGAAACTTTTGGGAGAGTAGCTCTGGGCTGGTAGGGAGGAGGACAAGCAGTCAGGGAGAAGGAGCACTTACCAGCGTATCATGCTGTTTCTTCAGGCCCCCCTTCCAGAGGATTTCCAGCAGGCTGCCCAGGAGGGGCCAGTTGGTTGGACCGGGCAGTGCAGATGCAGCCTGCACCTCTCTGGGCACCCTCAGAGGGCAGATCGGTGGCACTTCGGGAGGCTGGGGGGAGCATGTGGAGGATGTGACAGGTTGAGGAAACTGCCTAAGCCTCCCTATTTGCTTCATGAAGGCAGCTACATAGGGGGTTTTCCTGATAGGCGAACTCATGGCTTCCAGGGACCAAAGTAGTGCTAGGCAGGTGAGACAGAGAGTTGTGTGGGTTTGTATGTGTGTGGATATATGTGGGAGAGAAGCTAAAAGTGTCAGAGGAGCTGGGGGTGTGGATCCAGAGAGGTCTGGAGGATTGAGGAGAAAAGCACGAAATTGGGGATAAGCAGGTAAGTGAAGAGGAGAGGACGAGGAGCAGCCAAGAAAACTGAAGGTATTGAAAGATGCTCAGAGCGGGAGCAGCGAGTAAATTGCCGCCGCCCCAGAGTTCAAAGAGGAAGGAGACCGGCTCTGGGCTGTGGTGCTTCGGCCAGCTCTAGCGTGCTCTGCACGCGGGGGACTTCTTTGTTCTCTGGTTTGTTTGTCTATCTACAGATGTCTTCTATGGGGCTGGAGTCAGGACCTGCCACCAAGGTGCTGCTGGAGGTGATGGATGCTTCTGCTGGCGCTGTTGCTTTCTCCCCTACTCAGAGGACTCCTATGGCTAGAAAAGGATGGACTGGTATTTATGAAGCTGGGGCAAGCCGGCCGGACTCCCCAGAATGGCCAATAAGAGGGCAGGGTGCGGCGGGGTGGGCCCGATTTGGCGTGGTTTGGCCCTCTGGAGCCACAGGTGGGAGGAGTAGCAAGGGGCGGGATGGACAACCGGAGAGGTGAGGGAGGTCAGTCAGGTCTAGAACAGCTGGCTCAGGTGTGCGTATTGCTGAGACCCAGTTTCCAGTTCCCTCCTTCTTTGCTCCCCCAGGGCAGATGACTCTGGGGCTCCACCCGGGAGAGCAGGAGGGGATGGGAGGAGAAGCTGAAACCTGAAGTGGAGTTCAACGAGTGTATGCCCTGTGCTCTCCTCCTCCTCCCTCCTCCCTCCTCCCTCCTCCCCTTCCAGCGGGCAAGAATCAGCAGTAGCGGCAGCTGTGGCACTCGGGGATGTTGCACAATCACTTGCTAGCCTTGAAGGTCTGCAAGTAAGGGGGAAGATTGCAGAAACGAGAACATCAAACCTTGCAAAGTGTCCGATGGCTCACTCTGCTCACTGGGCTAGGGAAAGTAAAGATTTTCTCCAGTGTAGACAGCTTTTGTTTGAAGAAATTAGATCTGAAGCATCCTTTTCACACCTCGCACCTACAAGATGTGCGAGACTTAACCTTTTAAACACTTTTTTTTTGTTGAAAGTCCTGTCTTAACTTGCTGAGGAAGGTTCAGTCAAGAGTCATTTTTCAGATTTCCTGAGAAGCCACTCTTGGTGTCTTTATAGGTGATAATAGAAAGGGAAATAGGAGACTGGTATAGGAAATACTTCCTTACCTGCCTAGGCAGGAAGTAGATTTTGTTTGTTTTTTAGGTTTGCACTCTCTTATTTTGACCCAAGACAAAACTACAATAATTAATCACAAAATCACAGAGCTGAAAGGGGACCTTCGAGATCATCTAGTTCTACCTCTTCATTTCACAGATGAATTCACTCAGTCCAAGAGAGAGGAAGTGGTTTGTCCTACTCCACTTAGCTGGCAACCTGTTGTAATGGAGAGAGGCTTGAACTTGTAGTCAGGAGATCAGGATTCAAAACTGGACTCCATTCTTATTAGTTGTGTGAGCCTGGCTAAATCACTTGATCTCTGTAACTTATGCAAAATGAGGAGGTTAGAGTAGATGCCAAAATCCTCTCCCCCGCTAAATTCTATAATCCATTATCTGACTCCAAGGCCATGCTCTTTCTCCCATGCCAATGGTCTCTACAAGGTATCTGAGGAAAGTACTGTCTCCACTACAAGGAAATCAGGGCAAAAGACTGAATTATTTTTGATCAAAACATTTTTAATTCCTCAGTTTCAAGTTTTTATATTTTTTTGGTTGGTTGCTAAAACAAGATAAAATAAAAACCTCTAAGTTTCATCTTCAACTCCAACATGTTCATTCAATTAATTTCAATTTTTAAAAGGTATTGATTCCTCAATTGATAAACGGTCAAAGGATATGAACAGGCAGTTTTTTGATGAAGAAAAGAAAATAATTTATAGTCATATGAAAAATGCTCTAAATCATTATTGATTAGAGAAATGCATAAAACAACCTTGCAATATCATTTTACCCCTATCAGATTGAAAAATGATAGAAGGGGAAAGTAATAAATGTAGGAAAAATTGGGACCTTAATTCATTCTTGGTGGATCTGTGAGCTGACCCAACCATTTTGGAGAGAGATTTGGAATTATGCCCAAAGAGTTATTAAACTTCCTATACCCTTTGACCCAGCAATACAACTATTAGATCAGTTTCCCAAGATGATTAGGGAAAATGGAAAAGAACCTACATATTCTAAAATATTATAGCAGCTTTCTTTGTGGTGGTAAAGAACTGAAAATTGCAGGGATGCCTATCAGTTGGGGAATGGCTAAACAAATTGTGGTATATGTTCATGATGGAATATTACTCTGTTATGAGAAATGATGAGCTCAATGATTTTTAGAAAAGAATTGGGAGACTTCCGTGAAATGATGAAGAGTGAAATGAACAGAACCAAGAGAACATTGTATATAGTAATAGCAGTATTGTTTTAAGAACAACTTTGAAATAATAACAAGATTCATCTGAAAGAACAAAAGGTCCAGAATATCAAGGGAACTAATGAAAAGAAATGTTAGGGAAGATAGCCTAGCCATACCAGATCTTAAATTGTATTATAAAACAGCAATCATTAAAACTACTTGGTACTGGCTAAGAAATAGAGTGGTGGATCAATAGGTTGGGTACACAAGGCACAATAGTCAATGATTATAGTAATCTACTGTTTGATAAACCCAAAGATCCCAGCTTCTCGGGTAAGAACTCACCATTTGACAAAAACTGCTGAGAAAACTGGAAAACAGTTTGGCAGAAACTAGGCAAAGGACTATAAAAGTTTAGAGAAGTGAACGTTGAAAACTAAAAATAAACTAATATTAAGAACAACTTTGAGCAACCAAGTCATTCTATTATAAATACCCAAATTAACCTCAAAGATCCTTTGAAGGAAAATGCTGTTTGAATCTAGAAAGGAATATTGCTGTGGTATAGGAAATAATGAGCTGGTTGATTCAGAAAAAAAAAAACAACCATGGAAAGACTTACATGCTATACCAAAATAAAGTCAAAATGGGTACACAAATTAGATATAAAGGCTGTTGTAAAACTGGGAGAGCAAGGAATAGTTTACCTGTCAGATTTATGGAGAAGAATTTATGAATAAGAGATAGAGAACATTATGAAATGCAAAATGGATAATTTTGATTACATTAAATTGAAAATCTTTTGCACAACCAAAGCCGATCCAACCAAGATTAGGAGGGAAATAGAAAACTGGGAAAGAATTTTTACACTCAGTGTCTCTGATAAGGGCCTTGTTTCTAAAATATATAGAGAACTAAGTCAAATTTATAAGAATACAAGTCATTCCCCAATTGATAAATGGTCAGAGGATATGCACAGGCCATTTTCAGGTGAAGAAATTAAAGCTATCTATAGTCATATGAAAAAAATGCTCTAAATCACTATTGATTAGAGAAATGCAAATCAAAACAACTCTGAAGTACCACATCACACCAATCAGATTGGCCAACGTGACAAAACAGGAAAATGATAAATGTTGGAGAAGATTGGGAAAATTGGAACATTAATACATTGTTGATAGATTTGTGAACTGATCCAACCATTTTGGAGAGCAATTTGGAACTATGCCCAAAGGACTATAAAAATGTACATACCCTTTGACCCAGCAATAGCACTTCTAGGGCTGTATCCCAAAGAGCTGATAAAAATGGGAAAAGGACCTACATGTACAAAAATATTTACAGTAGCCCTTTCTGTGGTGGCAAAGAATGAGAAATTGAGGGGATGCCCATCAGTTGGGGAATGGCTAAACAAGTTGTGTTACATGAATGTAATGGAATACTATTGTGCTATAAGAAATGATGAGCAAGCAAGACTTCAGAAAAACCTGGAAAGACTTGTATGGACTGATGCTGAGTGAAAGGAGCAGATCCAAGAGAACATCGTGCACAGTAACAGTCACGTTGTGTGATGACTAACTTTGATAGACTTAGCTCTTCTCAACAATGCAAGGATCTAAGTCATCTCCAAAAGTCTCATGATGGAAAGTGCTGTACACATCCAGGGAAAGAACTATGGAGTTTGATTGCAGATCAAAGCATACTATTTGCTCTTTTTTTCCTTCTGCTTTGTTTTGTTTCTTCTTTCTTGTGGTCCTTCCTATTGGTTCTAATTCTTCTTTAGAACATGACTAATGTGAAAATATTTTAGTAGGAATGTATATGTAAAGCCTATATCAGATTGCACATCATCTTGGGGAGGGAGGTAGAGAAGGAGAGGGAGAAAATTCAAAACTCAAAAGTTTATAGAAGTGAACGTTGAAAACTAAAAATAAACTAATATTAAGAACAACTTTGAGCAACCAAGTCATTCTATTATAAATACCCAAATTAACCTCAAAGATCCTTTGAAGGAAAATGCTGTTTGAATCTAGAAAGGAATATTGCTGTGGTATAGGAAATAATGAGCTGGTTGATTCAGAAAAAAAAAACAACCATGGAAAGACTTTGACTTATGAAGGAAGATGCTATCCACTTTCAGAGAAACAGATGATAGTAGGAAATTAGCATAGTATGGTATTACATATATGTGTATGAGTGTATATGTGTATATGAATGTATGTTTATAGATATCTATGTATATGTATATATATCCAAGCTTAATTGTAGCCTTCTTTGGGGTGGGGTGGGGGAGAAGGAGGGGAAAAAAAGAAATAAAAAGTGCACAGCAGAGAACTAAAGAAAACCAACAAGAAAGCAAAGAAAAGCTGGGCAGCTTTGAAAACAATGTGTAGTATTTATTTTATAGGTTTTCTTGAAATGGAAATTTATTGTTTTATATTGAATCCTTTCTTATGGTCTGCTGAGTACATGGCAATGTTTTTTCTTTTCTCATTTTGTATTTAAGTATAAAATAATA